CAGACCGCCTAAGGGCCGAAAGAGCCCTCCAAGAGGCCCAAAAGAGGCCCCAAGATGCCCCAAAACCGACCCCAAGAGACGTCACAACTGCCTCCAAGAGGCCCCCGAGAGGCCTCACACGAGATCCCAACGAACATCCATTATGCTTCATACCCGCAATCCAGGCATGGTGGCAGGATGGGCCGAAAGCCATTATTGCACATGAAGGGTAAACGCCACGGCTGCGCAGTGCTGCAGCATCGTAGATCCGCTGGCCCCGAGATGGTTCTGACGACTCTGTTCGGAGACATCGAAAAAAAATACCCTGCCAGTGATTTTTCGGTGCTGCGCTGGCGCGGTGCGGTTTGCAACTGGATGCAGTAAGACGTCGGCCACAATAATCCCAGACCTTCAATTCGGAAACGTCAGCCGACCCGATTCTCCAGCACGACGGAGGTCAGGACTTTGGCCGAAGCCAGGCAAAACAGGGCCACTGGGGAGGAATCGGGCGTCCCCAGAGGGCCCTCGACGGCGCGCAGCTGCCAGGAAGGCCCCCTGAAAGGCTACATGCAGGTCAGCAAGAACCCCGAAGGCCTCCGATGACCTCAGAGCCTGCGGGGGTCCGAGAGCACTAACACTATCCGCCTGACCCCCCTCCTCCCCATCCTCCGCCTCGACCTCATCCTCTTCCTCCCTCTTCCTCTTCCTACTCCTCCTCCTCCGCCTCCTCCTCCTCCTCCTCCTCCGCCTCCTCCTCCTCCACCTCCACCTCATCCACATCGTCTTCCTCCTGCAACTCCTCCTCCTTCTTCTTCTCCTCCTCCACATCCTCATCCTCATCCGTATCCTCCTCCGCACCCTCCTCCTTCACCCCTTCGTTCCTTAGAAATAAATCCTCCCTGCCGCAACCCGAGACGTGTCCGTAGGGCGAGCCAGACGTTTCGCATGACACTTCCACACCGGTGTCCTTACTCCTTCAGTCTGAAATTGGCGACGGCGTCACAGGTGGAGGGGGGGTGGTTTTCAAAATGTGGCTCTCGCCTCAGCGCCACGCACATTCGTCTTAAAGGGTTGCAAGAGTTTCACGGATGGTGGGCGGTCCCTTTTCAAAAGGCGGCTCTCGACTTCTCGCCGCGCACATTCGTCAAGATTGTTCTGGTTGACGTCCCAGGAACGGTGTTCCAGCACGATGTAGGACTGTCAGGGCGCAACAATAATGCTGGTTCGAAATATTGAATTCCCGCGAATCGCGCTCTGGCACGATGTGGGACTGTCAGGGCGCAGCAGTGACGCTGATTTGCGGTATTGAAGTCCAAGGAATGAAACTCTGGCACGATTCATAATGATTTGGACGCAACAGTGGCATTGACTCGGGGCGTCCAGGATTTTCAGACGGCCGTGTTTCCACGGGGCACTTCAGTCAGTGAAAATAAATCCGTGTAGGGACCTATGGAGAGGGAGCTTGGAGGGAGGGTTTCTTGCGACATCGTTAAGGAGTCTTGGGTTTACACTGGTCCTCCTCCTCCTCCTCCTCCTCCTCCTCCTCCTCCTCCTCCTCCTCCTCCTCCTCCCTGCGACGAAGGCGATGCGACTATCGACTGATTGGGTTGAACGGGGTAAGCAAACATTCGGCTAACACACGTCCTGAGGATCATCGAACCTCGTCGCCACGGCTGTATTGCCATTCTCCCCACGGTTTTGGACGCCCGAAATGGGCAGGGAGAGAACGGGTACAATGCCCAACAACCAATGCTGTCCAAAACAGACAGCGGCCGCTGTTGGGCGGGCGGCTCCTTGTCTTCAACGAACAACGTCCGCGGCGGCGCGGACAGCGAGTCCTGTTCAAAATGAACTGGAACTGCTGTTGGGCATCGTACCCCACTTTCCTACACTCTGGATCGCTCAATAATCGTCCCCCCCTTGGAGTGCCCGCGGGGGGTGGCCGCGGCGCGTCCGCGAGGGGGTCTGGTGTTCGTTCCCTTCCCCGCTGGGGCGCGGGGGGGCCCGCCCGGGACTGCCCCGAGGGCTCGCCGGTCGGCCTCCCCAGGGCGCCCCAAGAGTCGGGGGCGCGCAAACATGGATTAGCGATCCATGGATTTGGCGACCGCGCGCCAAATCCATGGATCGCTAATCCATGTTGGCGCGCCATCCATGGATTTGACGCGCCATCCATGTTCGCGCGCGATCCATGGATCGCAAATCCATGTCTGCGCGCGACCCATACTTGCGCGCCATCCATGGATCGCTAATCCATGTTTGGCACCTCCGCGACCCATGGATTTAGTGCTCGGTCGCCAAATCCATGGATCGGGGGAGGTGTCCTCCCCAAACGGCGGCCGGTACCGCCTCGTTCGGCGGCGGAACTCCGCGAGTTCCCATGGAAACGAGTCCCGTCGAATAATCCACGCCCCCTTGAAACATGATTGCGATCGCCTGAAAGAGGCTTCCAAGAAGCCTCCTCCCAAGAGAGCCCCACGAGGCCCGAATCGTGAGCGTTTTTTTATTCGGCGTTTCGATTTTGGGCGGAAAGGAGGGGGGGAGGGGGGGATTCTGGCTCCGGACCTCTGCTCAGTGCGACTGTTTGCAGAAGTGCGTCCATCACGCGGGGGGCTCCGCCTGCTCGAAACAGGCGCCCAAAAACAGCCAAGATCTCCTCCATGGGGGGGGAGGGGGGGGGGGGCCCGCGCCGATCAGCAAAACAATGAATAAAATTACACCAAAAAAAAACGCCAATCAAAGAATGGTTTTCGCTGAGGAGATCGACCTGGAACCCGGGAGCCCGAGAACCCAAAACCCACTGAAATCGGCCTGGAACTAATAACCGGGCACCCGCCCGAGAACCTGGAACCGGGAACCTGGGAACCCAGCCTGCTACCAAAATCGGCGGGAAACTGCCGCTAAATCTTTGAACTTCCGCTGGGACCCTTTCAGTGCAAACACTGATTGGGGAAAAACGAGCACCACGAGGCTGGAATCAGTGACTCCCGCTCGGTGCTCGACGAATCCTGGTGTTCTCGCCTCGTCGGCTCCCCGAGGGCCAGCCCTTCCCCCCACCCCTGGCCTTTATCGACAGGCGCGCTCCACGACTCGCAAAGTGGCTACTCGCCAATGGCCTGAATCTGCTGCGGGGGATCTACGCTCGTTTACATGGGAGGAAGACATGTGTTTTCGGACGTCTGCGAGTAGGTACTTTGCGAGCAGTAGAACGCGCTCGGTGACTCAAGGTCGGGCACGTCCCCCTGCAGAGCGAAAAGCCAAAAACGGCCAAAACGAAACCCAAAAATGAACAAAGATAGCCGAAAAATCGTCCCCTGGCGATTGTTTCTACTATTTTTGCATCACCCCCCTGTAGAGGGACAGGTCCGACTGAACCCTGGCCCCGAGAGCCGTCCGGGCGGCTGCGCCAGCGGGCACGCGGCGGCCACAGGGGCGGGGTAGCCCGGGCCGAAGGGCCCGCCGGACCACCACAGCGCCTGCTGCGCCGCCACGGCGGCGGAGAAGGTGCTCGGCCGGGGGATGGCGTTGATGGCGCCCCTGGCAGGAGGGTGGAAATCGAGAGGACGTACGAGCAGGAGGAGATGAAAGGGGAAGGAGAGGGGGAGGGGGAGGGAGAGGAGGAGGAGGAGGAGGAGGAGGAGGAGGAGGAGGAGGAGGAGGCGGAGGCTTTCGGGTTTGAGGGAATATGGGGCGCTTGTGTGCACGCACAGCCCCACGCGGTCAACCCCGAGTTAGGTCCAACCTCAAAAGAAAACCAACCTCATCAGGGCGCGGGGAAGGACATGCCACTCTTCGGAGGTTTGCCCTTGGCCAACCGCGAGAGGTTGGAGAGTCCTGTGGCCGTGGGCTTCGGTGGACACTCGTCGGCCAATTTCTGCATTCTGGACCGTGAGTGCCCCACACGACCAACCAAATAGGACTCCTCGAAATTCCGCGAACGCATGAGACAACTGTGTCCGACCACAGCACGGATGGGCCGTCGGGTTACCCGGGGAGGAACCAGCACTGGCGGTGGGCCCAACTTGCGAGACAGCCGAGGATCCCAACACCAGCGCACCAAGGCACGGACATGGCCAACACTTAGACAACTCGCCTCGCACGGCATTTCAAGAGAGCACCAACTTTCACCACGTCGTGGCCTTGAGCTCTCAACCTCTCTTTGCGAAGGTTCGAGGCTCCGGGCCCACGTTCACGGTGGTGCTCCCTACCGATGCGGTCCTCTCTCGTTTGCGGGCACGTGAGACACGCATGCCGCGAGACAGCCAACAATCTTCCGAGGACCAACAAACAGTCAGCATCCGCAGTCTGTACTTCCTGAACCTTGTCTTCAGAAAGGGCACGCCACCTGGCAGTTTCCCCCGCAAAGTGGTCGGCAACACCGTTGGCGACTAATCCCTGGGGGGTCAGGCGGAGTTCACAGATATTGCGATAAGTAGGATGACCCTTGGTCCATCGAGCTGTGAGATTACAGGACCCTTCCTCCATAGCATCCAACACTTGCTGCCACAGGTCGAACATACACGACTGGTCTACCAGAGCTCCACTCCTTTCAATGGCACAAGCAATAGGGAGGTAGCCGGTAAACATCATAGCATCTCCGTCCACAAGGCGAAGAAGTTGGAGGAGAGCATGCACCTCCGCTCGACGACACGATTGACCAGGTCCTGGGAGTGAGTCGCAGAGGACACCACTCACCTGCAGGGATCCTGGCTGGAGGTGCACAACGGACCAACCGCCCCGCCCAAGCCTCCCATCCTCGGCATGGGCCCCTCGAGAGCCATCACACCCAAAAGCACCCCCAGGGACCTGACCATTGCTCTGAAGCGCCTCAAGAAAGGAGCCCCACGCCCACGCCTTCTGCTCGGGGGCAGGGAGCACTCCAAGGGTCCACCCAAGAGGCACCAACCCGCGAGTCCAGTAACACTCAGACTCAGAAGGATTGCCCATGGCTTCCTGGCACATACTAGCAGCAAGGTGGAAGGCGGTGTCGTCGGTATCGGCATTGTTTGAACGCTCCCAGAACTTGTGGCAAGGCGTTTCAGGCCGCACACCACAGCGAGGACAGATACCCGCACTGGCGCAACCTGAATCTTTCAAGCGCCGCTCAGGCCACTGTGCACCAGCAGCGAGGTCATTCAGGATCGAAACTCCATCGCGGTCACGTCTACGCCCCATAGCCTTCCCCAGGTTCCGAAGGTCAGCGAGATCAACTCCAGTGCTCAGCCCTTGGCCCCCGCAGGCCTGGGCAGCTTGGCCCCAGAGGGCCTGCCCGACGTATTCTTCAACCATCTTCCACAGGTGGAAAGGGAAATCGCGCCTTTCCACCTTAAGGGTGGCAGTCGGGAGAAACCAAACATGAAGCTCAGCAGCATTACCGTTAGGCTCGAGAACGCATAAAGTAACTGCCGCCATGGGCCCTCGAACATGACGCCAGCGGTGGACCTTGGGAGCATTGCACAGCCCGGCAAGGATGCAAGGCCAGACTCTGCGCGCCGCCTGGCGCTGGCTAGGGTCAAGGGCACCCCAGGTACGGCCACATTCGAGCAGATGTTCATAGCGAAGCTTGCAGGCAGGATCATCAACTATAGCATTGTCAGACGCCAGAAGGGTGGCGGTGCACGCTCCAGCACGCCACCGTCCTGAGGCCTTAGCAGCCGCGCACGGAGTCGACGCAGGCGCGACGAAGGCGCGACCAGGACTTGGTGGCTCCACGCGCCAAATGTAGCGACCCCTGGCTTGAAAAGCTTACGCGCGCGAGGATTGACATAAGCAAAGGAAAGCAAATTGCTTGCCGCGGCGTTGCGCCTCCCCTCGGCTGTGCGCCATCTTCCACATAGTCCGTCTGCGTCCAGCCGTGGTTCCGACTCCAAGATCTTTCACAGCGCCAACAGCTTTGAGGGGGACACCGAGCTTATCGCACATCGCTTGGACAGGACGACCGACGTGCAAAGACGGAGCAACCACATGACTTACGCGAGATCTTACATCCTCTCTTCTGCAACATGTCATACAACTCACGGGTAGCAGGCACAAGTTGCTGGGTCACTTCCTCCACGGCGCCCTGGATGCACTGCGCGATAACGTCGACAAACGCCGAGAAGGGCACGCGTGGGACACGGCAGCGAGCAGTTTCCAGCATATCGCACAAATAGCACTTAATACAAGGCAGCGGCTGTGAGCAGCCCGCAAGGATGGACTGTCCTGCTCCCATCGCATTCGACACAGCCGACTGCGCCTCCAACAAGCGAGGGGCGGTGCGAACGAGAAGGCCGAGATACAGAAGCGGGGGGAAATAATTCACATCACTCGCCAAGCCTATCAATCTGCCGGGGTCAACCGCATCAAAGAATTTGCCCGTGCCCCAGCGGGCAGAAACATAAGCAGAAGAAGAAGGAGGGAAAGAAAAAGTCTGCCCGCGCACATTCATGCAGGACCCCCTCTCAACATGGCAGCCCGCAGGGCCGACGGCTACTTCGCCGCCGCACGCCAGAAGGCCACGTGGGACTCGGCCCAGTCCTAAATATAGCAACCCCTGAGGCGGGCATACAGACGGTAGAGGGTGGGGCACCTGGCGATGGACATCTCAGTAGAGACAGTCTCAGGGGGCAGGGCAACAATGCACAAGTAGACTTGCCGCGGGAACTCGAGGGCACACCCAAGGCGGTTAAGCAGGGCAGCAAGCTGATCGAGAGCCTCAGAGGGAAGCTGGAGCATATTAAATGGAGACTACCAGTCACTCCAAGCGCAGCGCAACTGGAGAAAAAAATCAACGCTCCGATGTCATCCAGAGCTCCGATGGCGCGCGCCTACAGGGCGGCCAATACGGCCGCTGGCCGAAGGCGTCGCACGCCATGCTCCAGATCCTCAACCTGGCGGAGGTAAGGGGGTCCACCATTCAGCCCAAAAACGTGCACGGTGAGTCCTCATGTTTTGGGGGGGTCTGGGCCGCCTCGGGGGGGGCCACAAACAAATCAACCGCCTTGCTGGCGTCAGCTTTCAGGCGCCGATGGATCTCTCTCGCGCCCCCAACGAGGCCACGAATCAACCAGGCTTGGAGCCCTTCTCGATGAGCTTTCCGGGCTGCGGCCCACGCGCGGCGAAGGGCGGGGACGTAGGCACCTTGCAGGACGTCCAACTGTTGAGGATCATGGGGCAGCTCAGACAACCAACCGCGCCATGCAGTAGCTTGCAATGCATCGGCAAGTGCCTCTAGGTGTCGACCCGCCTCGCCACTACGGGCACGCAGAAGAGTCCTGAGCGCGGTGACCTGCGCAAACCCCCCACGCTTCTCAGCGGCAACAAAATCGCGAAGGCGGGGCGAGATCAACGCTCAAGAAGCAAGGCGAGGGCGGGAGAAACCTTGTTTCATCACTCCCCGTGTAACGAGGGTCTTCTGTTGCAGCGCAACCGCTCGACCCCTATGCCCGCCTAGCTCCTGCCACGGCTGGGGGGCACGGTAGCAGAACAAGTGGTCGGCAGCAGTCGACCATCGTTGATGTTCACCCGGCAATCCTTCTCGGCTCCGCGGCCAGTGGAACTCGAGGAAAGCCCGTCGAACATCAAGGGGGGCACTCGCGACCTGTTCGCCAACTCGGTCCAGGAGATCTTGCCACCGTTCGCCCGGCCCATGGCGGTCGCCAGTGGGTTTAGGACGTTCGCGTTTTATAAACGCACGGCAGAGCACGTCGAGAGGGAGCCGCACTTGCAGCAAGCATGCGCGCGTCTTAGAGGCGGCGGGCCAGTCCCCCTGAAGCTGCACATATTGCCTCAGGCTGCGAGACACCACGGCATAGTCTCGCAGGCGTCCATCGCCCTCGTCGCAAGTAGAGTCGCTGTTGCGGGGATCGACCGCAGCGCCTGAAAACGCCTCACAGAAACCGCAACGGTGGAGCTCCAGGGGCGTCATATTGAAATCGCCAAGGAGGATCCAGGGGCACTCCAACATCCCAAGAAAGTCCACCACTTCGTTCAGACGGCTCAGGCTCACCCCAGAAGCACCAACTCCCAAGACCAAACCACCCCAAGCGCCAAGGTGCACTGCTAGGTCCTCATCTCCAAGGAGAACCAACTTTGTCCTTGCCCAATATTCTCAACCCCATCAGGTAGGGCACGGAGGAAACGCTAACAGTATATCCCCTTCTGTAAGACAGCTCCAGCTCCTCCATGCCAGCCCCCACCTGGAGAGGGTAGAGCTGCTCGGCAGTGCGGGCGCCACCCCATAGAAGAGCAACCCTTCTTCGCGGCCTTCAGCTTGGCAGGGCTCTGATTATGCTCAGCGAAGAGGTACACGTCAACGTCCTCAACCGCATAAGCAAGCTCAGACTTCGCAAACTCAGACCAGCTGGACACGTTGCTGAGCTTGATATGTAACCTCTGCCCTTGCCCCAGAGCCTCGTCAAACCAACTGCGCGCCTGGCGCCGCTTGGGAGGTTGCCAGCTGCGCAAAAGCAGTAGCCCACGTGTCAGAAGCATAAGAAGCCACCTTGAGCTTCGTATGCGCCTGCGTGTGAAAATTCTTAACCAGGAGACCTTCCAAC